ATAAATGTTCAAAGGCTAGACAAATTTCTTAATTACTTTTAAAACATTTTATTGCATAAACATTTTTAAACATTCTATTTTTATATAATATATGCATATGTATATAAAAGTGTGTACGTATACACGCATATTTTGAACACTTAATGGAAATTGAAGAAAAATAGAGTTTCTATTCAAGAAAAATAAACTCGTTTTCCTAAGTTCAGGTTAATAGACAGAAACCCATTGCGATGTTGTTAGAGATTAATAAAAAATAAATCTTTATTGCATTCAGAAAAAGGTTTAAAAATTAGTACTTTCATACAGGAGAAAAACGAAAGAAATTGAACTGAAAAAGAGAGTTAACATGTGGCATTTAGTCGCATGCAGGTCATGGGTTGTATGCAGGCCATGTGATATTACAGAACCAGCTAAACAGTACAGTCAGACACTAAGAAACTGGCTAACAATTTTTCAATATATTCGGATTGGAGGAAGAGTGTTCTGTTGTGCCCTTAGCATGCTTAATCGGAAAGAGATTAGAATACCCAATAAGCCCTGAAGAAGTATTACTCTAATGGACCTTACAAATTCTGGAACAGTGACAGTGCCATTCCAAATGTGACTAAGCCTTGCCTTATCAAAAATATTGCCTGCATAGGATGTGATAAGTATGCTGATAAAAAGGTTTCAGAATACCATCGATTATTCTGTCTAGACAATGGCAGGGAGGAATACTGCTGTCAGGACAGAACGTCTTTGACCAAATATCATAGGAAATTGCCTCCCATAGTGTTACTTTTAATATGTAATAGGTCTAACGTTTAATTTAAAAACCCTATCACATTTACTAGCTGCATCATTTCCAAACATTTTTGCACCATTGCTTCCAAGCTGAGTAATATGAAGTATGTACGACTACAGGAAAGTATATAATATGAATAAGGAAAGCATCATTGCAGACTGTACCGGAGATTCTCATTGTTTACTAACAGCTGGTAACATGGTCTTCCGGAATGAAGCCTCCATTCCCACTGATTATCATGTATTTCTCATGTGTCAGATGGATGCAACCATACATTTATATGCGGCTATGGAAGAAATGGTTTGATTGGTGCTATTCATGGGAATTTAACAAGCGTTTTATTAAGAATTTTATCGTCCCTCTGGCATTTGTTAATTGAATGTATATTGCTGGAAAATGGCCTCCTACCTATCGACACCAATTTCACTGGACTGCAGCATTCATTCCTCAAACTTATGTGCTAAGAGGTACGTCGACTAAATCAACGTAACTCGAATGAAGACTTAGCCCAATGATACAGTCTTTCTCACTCTTTAAAATTTTCTTGTATTACGCACAAATATTATATTAAAACATTGTATATACGATAGATTCTGGCACAGTGGGCTCTCGTAATTTAAGCATGACTTTTAAGTGCACTTTTTCATGGATTAAAGAGGGATATCATTCAGGTATTGGCCATTATTTTTGAAAATAGAAACGTATGCATGTTTCAGGTTTCGCGATACGTTATATTATGTGTGCAAGAGGACACATGATTCGCACGACCTGGCAAATGTTGCCAATTGACATCTCATATAATCTGTAATTTATTATCCAGGTATCCCACTAATAGTAGTTCTTGGCAATACTGCTATTCGATATGTCATCAAACACATCGAAAATAAATTTAATAAACATAATTTGTTTTTTAAAGTTTTTCAGTGCTTACCGAACTGGGTGATTTAAAGTAATATATTTCCTTTGTCAGAAAAGTTCCATGACAAAATCGTAAAAAATAGAAAATTGCATTTACCAAGTAATGATCTTAGCTGCTATCAAAGTAGTCCCCTCCCTTAGCTATCTATGCACAACTGCCAACGTTTCTGGAGGTCTTGGAAGCAGGCAGGGAAATCTTCAACTGCGATGCTTGTAAGCTCATTTATCACAGCCCGTTGGATGTCTGCAATAAGCTTGATGAAGCTTTCCTTTCAGTCAACTTTTCATTCACGGAAACAAGAAAAAATCACAATAATCTTTGACACGAATGTGAGATCACGTCTGGCTCTATCCAATAGTTCAGCTAAAATTATTCATCTTTTCTCTTTCTCTTCATCTGTACGCACGGTTACACGACGGTTTTCTTGCAATCACTGCCTTGCACGCTCCATGTTTACATCGGTATGTACTATAGACGGGCGACTAGCTCTGGGATCGTCATGCACTGAATCTCTGCTTTCACGAAGCCTTTTGTGCGAATCATAAAAAACGCATTCTTGAAAGTGCCTCTACTGCATTTGTTTGCTTAATCATGTTCCCTCGTTTCACTGGGAGTTTTCCCGAGCTTAACGCAGAACTTAATGTTCACTCTTTTGCTCGCAATCAGCATCCATTTAACGAATGCTACAACAATCTGAACAGTGTGTTGCTAAGCACAGCTCTGACCCCTAGTAAGTTTGCGCGGAAATATTGCCAAGATCATGTCAAGTAAGAATACATACCAGGTAACATATTTTTTTTTTTTTTTTTTTTTTTTTTTTTTTTTCATTTTTAGTACTGCAGACTCTGAAATAAAAAAAATTGTCTTGGAACTTTTCTGACAAAGAATGTTCATGCTTTTTATCATAGCTTTATTTTAATTTTTTAATAATATTTCTAGTTTATGTAATTCATAATGGGTCTACTTCATATAGTTACAGTAAGATTATTAATGATGTTGTAAGCATTTACATCATACTTATAACATAATAAAAGACCCGCTAACGGCTGAGCGATATCGTTGTCATTCGACCTGGGTTCGATTCCAGGCGGACGGGCTAGCTCCATGGACGTTTTCTTGGCCTATGCCATGTGTAACGTGGATATGGACCAATTTCTTTCAAAACTTTCTCGAAGAAAACAGCCATTCCCTTAGAAGCCCTCACATGTTTTACCATAATCAAATACACCAAACCACATAATGTAATTGGAAAAAGATGTTCATAACTCCTTCGGTATAGAATAATTTTACATTCCATTTAAAAGTTTATTTATTTAATTTGACAATTTGCTTTTAGAAATCCATGATGTGTTTGAAATATGTTTATAGCATATCTATATAAAAATTAAAGCCACCTTTTAATTGTTTGTTTATTTTTTTAAGCCTATTATCTTTCGATCTTTAACTTCTCAGAATGTTGTTAATGAGTTTACGCGTGTAATATTATATATATATATATATATACATCTAATAATGACTATAATATAGCAAATAATGTAAATTATTATTCGTTATATAATTTTTTAAAATTAGATATTTATAAATTTGTGTTTGAATGCTTTTGGTGTCCGTATGTGCACCTTGAATGCAGATATTTCAGACTCTTAAATTTATAACGAATATCTTAATACAAGTACTAACAGGTTTAATGATTCACATAAATGATTCAAATACTTAGTATTAAAAATGATTGAATTCCTTTTACTAATATCGATCGACTATTGTAATATGAGCTATCAAAACTAATATGACAGCATATTCTCTCGAAGTTTATCATTACTATCTTTCGCACTTGATTATACCAAAATGCCAGATTCATTTTGAAAAGTTTAATCTCTGAGCTGAGAACAGTAATGGCCATTTTGAAAATAATAAGATTACTTTATACGATTCCTCACCTCAAAGCATACAAATCCGTTGCTTCTCAAAACTATTGAGTAGGAATAGAAACAGAGAGAGAAAGAGTTTACAAAGCGAATGGAAATATCATTAAAGATTCCAGTTGTGGCTTAAGCCCTTAAGTACCATTTAATCTAGTCTTAAAGCTTTAGAGTTTTATCTTCGAGAGTAATTAAACTTCTGCAGTCACAGTTATAATAGAATCTTTCTGCCAAAAGAAACAGGCAGAAGTTTTATTAGTCTAACTCATGACTATCACTATCGGATGTAAGTGTTTTATTTTGAAAATGTTTTAAATATTATTTAAAACATTTATGTTATTTACTTTCACATTTTGGAAAAGGTCTTGAATTTAACCAAAGGGAAAGAATTAATATGGAAATTACTTGACAAAAAGATTTATTCCGCAGCTAAATCGTTTTGATGAAAGAAAAACTTCAACAACTTGTAGTTGTTGGTGGATCGAAGTTAATGAAATTCGAAAGAGCTTTGTAACATTCTTTCCATTGAAACTTTTATTCACTGAAGTACGTAACGTTTATCTATGCGATTAAACAACTAAGCGTCTCGTTTGCTTCACTAAGGGAGTAGTCAAAAATGAAAGATTCAACTTATTAGCTACTAGGATTGTTAATAAAATAATGCAATAAGAAATATCATAGTTTTTCATGTTTCTATATTTATTTTAAAATCTAAAACAGCCTCTACGTATTGTCATCTCATACTGAGCATATTTAATAACCGTTTTTTTTTTCAGTATAAACATTATAATTGCAGTGCTATGCAAAGTAATTTATCCGATTTCAAATATACAGTATTCAGTACTTATTTATATCATGTTAATTTTTATATACATTAATGAAAAATTAACATTGTGTGAAACGTTTAAATAACAGTTATATTACATGATATTTATGTGCCGATTCATTTAAATAGCTACTATAATGCATATGTATATATATATATATATTGCAAAGCGTTTCAAAGTAACAATAATTCTTAAAGTATTTAAATAATAATAGCATTATTGCATATTTTTAATCCTTTCTTTATTTTTTTATTCCATAAATAGCCTTACAACTGCTCTTTTTCAACATTTATTTACTTTGTATTTAGGCTACTTAAAAAGTCATGTCTTTTTTTAAAAAAATGGCAAAATATTTTGGCGTCATTCGAACTGAATCAACTTTTTCTATAAAAGTAATATAATATCATAGTTTTGAATTTTGTTTCTTTTTAAAATATGGAATTACGAGACAGGGTGCGAGACAAAACAAATTGAGATTTCTGCAACTACAGAAAAGAAATATTTATTCAGCGAATGAATTCGTTATTTACCGCCTAATGTTTCATTCGCAGCCCGTTGCAAGACATTACCCAAGAGACCAAGACACGGCATGGTTATAGCGCCAAAAACTGACCACGGCATGAAGGCCTTGTACAGATGCAAAGATGGATACAAACTCGAAGGCCCCAATGTAACAGAATGCAGCTTTGGAAGATGGACTGGTGAAACACCCAGCTGCAACGAAAGTGAGTGACTACATTACTAAATCTATAAAAAGGATTTCCGTAAATATACAAAATAATATCCATGCAATAAAAATTGCAAATTTAAATAGTTAATAAAGATGATCCTTAACTTAAAGTCCAGTATTCATTCACTCGCAACTGCCAGAACAGGACATATAAATTGACTAGCGCGCACATATTTGCAGGTATAACTGACAAATATAATGTATCTGTGAGTTACAGTATCATTATTATGATACATTCCTGGGAGAAGCATGCAGGTTTTACGTCAGTGGTTATTACATGAGTAGGGCAATACAGAGCACGGCATATACGACTGCTAACAAGTCACTTCTTAGAATAGTATTTAAATATGTTGCATTATTTTACCACAAGTGGCAGTTCCGAGCAAATTGCTTTCAAGTTAGGTAGCAGAAAATCCGACAATCAGTTATTGGAATTCTCTGCAGAGATATAACTGCTCTTAACTAAACGAAAGTAAAACAGCTCTTTGCAGAGCTAAAAAAACACAAAAGAAAAGGTTTCTTTCTTTCCACTAAAACTTAACTCTCTATCTCTCGCTCTCTGGAACTGTTTTCATTGTTCAAGATTTCCTCAGGGTGTCGAAAGGTCTTTTTGAATTCTCATTTGCCTGAAAATGTTTAGAGCGTCTCTAGAATGGCAAGAACACCCTGAATGTTTGTGGATGTAATGTTGATAGGCCTGAGCAAATTTCTATGAGAATTTTCCAGCTCCAACTTGGTATTCAAACAGGGATGGTCGGTAACAGGCAGTCGATGCATAATAAAACAGCTGTAAACAGATGCATGGACGAAGGACTCTGACGTTCTAGTTTTTCTCAAAGAAGAAATCAGTGTTTCTTCTTCGGGATAAAACTTCTTCATGAATAAAACAAGGACTTAAGGACGTCATGAGTTTACAGGTCAAGTTCAGTTTTCCCGAGAACTGCTAAGTAGTCGTTAGGAAATAACTTCTGGTTGTCATCAGTCTTCAGACAGATTAGTACAATGGCGCACAAAAGGTCACGAATTCTCCAGCAAATATATACATAAATTCCAGAAGATGCATAATATAGATATCGCTGATGACAGAATACTTTAAAAACGTCATAGACAAGTAACATTTGGTAATCAATGTTTGCAAATATTGCGGTCTCGTGTGTCACATAATATGATCTATTCTGGAGGTAGCAGCTGATTGTGAAATGCTACATTTTGCACTCTCTTTCTCTCTCCCTCTCTCTCTTTCTGTCCTTTTTTTTAAATCTTGATTACACCTGAAAGATTTGAGATTTGTGGCCATTGTCATCTAGTAATCCGATAGCTCTCCTTGTTAGCCAATAATCAGAAATCTTATTGGAATAATAAATAGAGTTATTTAAAGGTAATATAATTTCATTAATGGATCGTCCATATCTTTAAATATTCGAGGTATTTGCAAAATGCTACATTTTAGAAACACTTATTTTGATTTGCAGCGTACAATTTACTGACTTTTAGAATGTTTAATTTCAAAACTAAAACTCTAAGAAAATAAATTATTAGAATAATTTCCATAAATTGTTGGAAAATAATTGAACAGTTTTATTTAAGCTTTAGTCGTTTTCACGTTGTTATTTCTAAGACGTTATTCCAAATTAACAAAAATATTCGAATTTAGGATGTTATTCAAGTGAAGTTTCGCTGGAAACAACATCATGAGCAAAATGGTTCAACATCTTTCTACTATACTGAAAGAGCATTTTGCGATGTAACACGAGAATTATTAAATTATGTGAAAAGATTCTCAACAACTTTCCATTTCTTATTTAAAAACATTATATATTTGGTTGCTAGCCTAAATCAGCATTAAAAGTATTTCAGCTTAAGAAAGTTATTAACATATTTATTAAATATTATATATTTATTAAACGTGTAATATTTAATGTATACCTTTCTATTTGCATTAAATGTTAAGTTATTTTAAATGTTGGTGAATTTAAATAATAGCATATGATGTGTGTTAGTATAATTAGTTATATAGTGTTTAGTTTGTTTACTCTGGCAAAGGCTACATAACCTAAGATTCAAATTTAGTTCAAGATAATTTTTGCTACGCTAGAAATAGTTTAGACAATTTTCAATAGGAAATTGCCTAGTATGTCTTCCGCAGATGAAAAAAGTATAAAATACCCTGCATCAGCCATTTCAGTTTTTAAAGTACCTACTTCATTTTCATTTCAGTTTTTAGTTCCTTCTAATATCCATTTCAGTTCCCTGCAATAGTCACTTCAGCTTGGTGCTTCAGTCGCCGGGGAATAGACTAACTATCAACCTTTCGTAGTCTTGTTCACTGGGCCTTTGATGAAATGTGTTATAATGACAAATAAAACGAAAGCTTTATGCTAATGTCTAAATGTCGTGAATTAACTCTGCTCTTTGAGAGTAATATCAGGACAAGTAACGCATTTTATCGTGGCGAAGAGCATCGGTCATTATCATGGGTCTTGGATAGATTAATAGGAACTCTCCGTCTCAGTTTTGAAGAAGCATCCGACAGAGAACGTGCCTGAGGATCTCCCACCCCTACCACTAAATCACTCGAAAGTACTTTTGTCTACCATGTATCTGAAGTGCTTTCGTGTCGCAAAGACATTTATATCCTTACAAACATTCTCTATGGATATCCAAGCCGTGGGATTTAAACCTAGGCCCATCGATACGGCAGCTAGCATCGCTAACTTTCATGCTGATTAAGGAGGCATGTTTAAATCTACAACTGAAACTATGTTTGACATATTTATTATAAACACTATTTCGTGTTCAATTTAGCTGCTGTTCAAAAATCGTTAATATATTCATGATAATTGTAATAAGCTTATTAATTAGGCTTCCTTTTGCTCGGATTTAGCTATATTAAACTAAGTATTTTTTCATTTTTGTAATTAAGGCTTTTTTCTTGCCGCATCTAAAAAACACTAATGCAAAATTTCAAGACACATTACTTGTTTTACTTGTTTATGCGCTTATCTAAGGTTTTTAAGTGCACAGAGGTTTAAAAGCCTTTAAACAGTTTTTTAAACTTGAAAATATAAAGTTAACTGTGCGAACTTTAATTAAAATTCTTAACAGAAGCGGTCTTATGAAATATGAATAATACTTAAATATGTCGTCTTTAGCAGTATAAATAAGTAATAGCATTTTCAATTCACGAACATCAAAGGGCCGTTACTTTATAAACCCTTAAGTCTAGAAAAGTAAAGAGAATACAGTCTTAGAATAAAAAAATATTGCCAGCATCACATTTCAATATATAAATTATATCAGAATATGCTTTTTGTTAGCAGTGTACTTGCTATTAAAATCAGCCGCCCTGATGGTCAGCAATGCTGGCTGTTGCATCGTTGAGCTCGTGCTTTTTTAGCTTGAGGCTTGGATTATAAGAGTATATGGTCTAGACAACATAGTGACACTTGAAATACTGCAAGCCAGAAGTCCACTGAAGACCTTTGATCGCAAGGAAAGAAGAGAGGGGCAGCCCAGATCTGTCAACCGAGGTGTTCTCTCTGAAGCTTTGGGCGGAGCTCTACTGTTAGTATGGTGGATATTATACTTGCAAAACCATTGGTGAAGCTGGTATTCCGTTCATTTCTTCCTGTTTTGCCCTGCTATCAGAATAAGAAATGCTGGCGATTCATAAGAGCTTGGCGAAAGACAAGTTGTAATGACACGGCCTTTCGTAAACAGCATTTCTGAAATGCAATGGCTTGTAGGCTGCTCACGAACGCTGTCTTGAATACATATCAAAAGTTTTGCAGAGATGGACAAATTATGAATCTTCGGTCATCCGCTTGTTGGAAGTAGCTCACTGATGTCAGAGGCCAGCGTATTGTGTCATGAGTTGTTCGATGTAGTACCAAGACCGAAATTTAGTAAATCACTCACATGTACTACACAGGTCATTTGGAAAATTGTATGTACCACACAGAACAGTTCTATGTATGAGCCTACGTATTTGTAGGCCTGCTACGTCTCAGTGCTAATTACTGAATTATTAATTGATAAAAAAACGGCAAGGTATGAAAAATGCTTAAGAGTATCAAGGCTGAGTTTCAGATAATTTAATAGTAATTCGTCGGCCAGCTTTATCCATATTCCCCATTCATAAGGACTGAATGCGTGCAAAGCAGCTTTTGGAGCCTAGATGCACTGTTTTATTCAAGATCTACTAGCCTGTGGGCGATGTTTATCCTATGGGCCTGCTGGAAGACTCCTGGGTCCATTATTCTAGTAGAACTTCCCTGTTAACTATTAGGTAACTGAAATTACTTAGGGGCAAATTTACTCATTCATGTTAAAGGCGTTCTCTTCTGGCAGGAGAATGAACCATGCTACACTGCCAGGATCATCAAAGAGTGGTGCAAGAAACTTTCTTTACGCCTTAAAATCCAGCGAACTGAATCTAGTCAAACATTTATGGTATGAATTGGAGTTTTGTGCTACATAATCTCTGCTGAAGTTATAAGAGAACTAGAACTTATACTTGATGCTCTCATATATTCCAGGGTAACAACCGCTGCCTTATCAAATCATTATCGAGTCGATGCTTCGTACACTGGCAACCTTTACAAACTAAACTAGATCCTGCATTTTATTAAAAGCTGACCATTATGCACTGGTCTTTTGGTGTATTTGATTTATGTGTACATATCAACGGTCCTTTGTATTCAAAGCTTTCTGATTTGTTGTTTGCTGCAGATGTACATGCCTGCATTCAGTGCAAATATGTAATTCATACAGTATCATTTACGCTGTCATGGTTCAAGAACAGAAGGGCAAGATTAAATCTTTGAAATGGTAAAATCATTTAATAAAATGACAAAGAAAATTTCAAACAAATTGTAATGTATTTAAAACAATTTAAATGTACTGCTATTAAAATAGTTTCCACTTACAGCTGACCGACGTAAAACTTAGCCTGAAAAGCTAGTAGTGGAAATATTTCTGATACAATGAATTGTA